TATATATATATACAAAAGTCCTATAAAGTCTAAGTTTGTTTAACATAAAATGATCTCCATTAAATGTTCCTTGCAGAAGAAAAGCTTCCTTTTACCTCATAGTTTCTGTAATCATCCTTGTCCTTCTGTAAATTTGGTCGATAAGCCAGGGATGGGTCTGGCCCCTGTGTTTGAAAATAAGATTTTTTTCAAAACTTACGTCCTCATAAGTCATTTAAAAACACAAGGAATCATATAAAATGATATAAAAGAGAGACTCACGATGTTGACCACCCTCATGCTGTCAGATGAAGCCTCAGCAGGTTCAGGTTTGACTGCCTGCCTCCATCCTCAGATATTTATATAAATCTCCACTTTTTTTTTTTGACCTACACGAAGTGTGCACGCATTCTCGGTTACAATTTAACCAAACCTTACCTAACGGGGTGCCCTGTGTTTGAACGTTGGCCCTGTCTGAGTGTTTGTGCATCTCCTTACAGGAAGAGTTTTTCAGTAATCAGCAGATTACTTGTTTGGACTTTCATAGAATGACTCATTGATTTTTCAACAGTTTGTTTTGTTTTGAAACACTGTCTTTTACATTTAGCTCCTTTGTACATGGATCTTTCCCTTCACAGAAAACTAGATAAATCATGATCAAATAAGGTCCAAGTTCTTTCTGTGAGTCTAAAATCTGAGTAGTGATCCGTTCGCACACAGCAGCCCCTCTCTGATGACTGCTTCTTTTTTTTTTTCCTTCGGTCAGCTGATTTGAGTTGACCAAGGAGGTCAAACAAGTGTAAATCAATGGATGACCAAATAATTATTGTCTGTTTCTGACAGTTCAAACATCCTGCTGAGCCACCATACAAAATCTGTCTCTGATATCACTAAAAAGAAATGATGTGAAAATTGACTTTTTGCTCCAATTTCTGGCTCCTCTGCTGGAGGACAACAAATATTTGACGAGGACGGACGTTCTCTGTTTGCTGGGCTTTTTTATTTTCGTGCTGAAAACACTGTCCATTCACCTGTTTTAGAAAGAAACTTACATTGACCTGATCAGGACCACGGGGGAGGGGCGTTATTGAGCTGGAGTTGGGGTGCATCGTGGATCGTTCACAAGTCTGTCACAAGGCCAAAAGCTCACGTGCACACTCCTACGATCCATTTCAAATTCTAAGTTGACCTAAAATACATTTACATCCTCGTTTAGCTTCAGGGACTAAAGGGGCTTGCTTCAACTCTGAAATCTGATTGGCTGCTTCAGAAGGTCCACAGAAACGTTGGAGCTTTGACATCATTTTACTGTTTGTTATTGAAACTTGTTTTTGAGCTTCTGGTACCTCCAAGTGCTGCCAGTAAGGTGGCCACTACAAGATTTATGACCACGTGGTATTTAAAAATATATATATATATAAATGAATAATCTACCAAACACAAATTTCCCTACTTTTTGTGTTAATATAAACATTGTAGAAAAAGTGAGGAAAAAAAGTGTCTCATATGATATTCAAGTTTCCTTTGTGCCATTAAATAAATATTCTCTTTAAGTTGAACTATTTCTTTACCCACTGCCCTGATGTGAGGAAATAAACGCTGGTCGTAGTGTTAGAATCTGTGTAATTTGATTACTTTTTGATAGTCTTTGAGATCTTTATAAGTTTTAATCCCTGTTTGAGAGTCTTGTGTTTAAGTTAATTTGCTTGTTTTTTGTTTGCTTGTTTTTTTTAAAAATCTGATTTGTTTAATCCATGTGGCTCAGTTGGTAGAACTGTTGCCTCGGAGCGAGAAAGTCGCCGGATCAAATCCCAGCCTTTTCTGGGTAGAGTTGACATTTTCTCTCCGTGCATGCATGGGTTTTCTCCGGGTTTCTTCCCACAAACCAAAAAAACCTGTATGAACTCCAAATTGTCTGTAGGTGTGAGTGAGAGAGTGAATGGTTGTTTGTCTTTGTGCTGACTGTGCATTTTGAGTTATGTCACAGAAGAAAGGTGCAAACACAAATGGGTGAAAATGTCCTGATGCATCTCAGTAATCCAGGTAAAAAATCAAAGAAAAAAAATTGTATAGGTCCTCTGGACGGGTTCTTCTTTAATGAAACGTTTCGTCTCTCTCGTTTTCAGCTGTCCCCCTCCTACAGCGCTGCCATTGGCAGTATCACTCCACCCCCTGTTAACAATAGATGTTAATTAGGGTGAACGATAGCCATGTGATGTGAGTATCAGTCACCTGGAGGCAGGACTCAAAAGCCTGAATTTTGCCTGAAACTCTCAGACTGAAGAAGTCTCTTGGAAGAGAGACGAAACGTTTCATTAGAGAAGAACCCGTCCAGAAGACCTATACAATTTTTTTTCCTTTGACAAATGGGTGAAATTAGCCCCTCTCCCAAAAAACAAACAAAACAAAATTAAAACTGCTTTTCTTCATCGATGAAGATTTTGGGGAAGCTGCTGAAAAAGGAAATCAGGCTCGAAACTCTGACGCTGCAAAACCAAAAGTATTAGAATAAAACAACAGTTGTTAGAGGAATATAAGTTTAATATAGTCTGATATTTACAGCAAAAACATACATTTACAAAAAATAGTTTCAAACTCAAGTCATTCTGAATGTAAAGGCCAATAAAGTGCTTTCATGCATTTCTAATAACAAATGTCAGAAACTTGAAGGCAGAAAAAAACGAGTCTGATCAGTCAGCGTTTCTGTTAAAGCCCAGAAAACAAAGTTCCAGTCTCTCCGCCCGCCCCAAGACTTAAGAAACTTTGTTAAGAAGCGTGCAGACAGATCATGGATTAGGGTTGTATTTTGGCGCCGTGGGCCTCTGGGTGAAGGGTTATCTGGGTTTGACCGCCTAATCTCGGTTTTTGTACATCTTAAATTGACTTGTTTGCAGAGGGAGACGAATGCGCCTTCAGGAGATTATCACAGAGCTCGGGCACGTTCAGGCAGCAGGATCGACAGGAAGGAGGGTTTAAGTTTGAGAAACACTTCACTACTTTTAGTCAAACATTACAAACGTCAATAATGTCGTGACTCAAACTGGTTTGTTCAAACTGACTCTCCTCTGATTTGTTTGAATGTCAGATTACTTGATAAGATGTGAGAACTCATAATTATCTCTATTAGGACCAAAGCCATGAGTTCGTATTTGGTCATTGCTGGTTCAGAGGAGCTGGATGTTTTAAGTATCGTTGGGTGGTGATCTCAGCCGTAGCTGTGAGGGCTGTGAAGGTTCAGAGGAGAGGATTCCACCCTCCCGCTCTGTCCGATCAGCTGGTACAGCCGATGGCTGAGGTTCTGCACCTGACAGGTGCCCAGGACGCACCCCACCCTCATCAGGTGGCCGTGGGCCCTCGCGCCGCTGCCGCTGGCGTGACGGCGGCCCCGTGACGCACGCTGCCAGACGGGCGCCTGCAGCTGCAGACGACGGTTTCCATAAAGCAACGGTTCGGACGACCTTGGCGCAGGGTCTTTGTGAGGCGGGGCTCTCCAGACTCGCTCTGGGGTTCGGTTCCTGGTGGCAGCAGGAGGATCAGACGCTGTCAGGAAGCTGTCAGGGTCAGATGGCTTCTGGAATTCAGACGTTCTGATTAATCTGAAAAGAAAAGAAGTGGAAAGGAAATGAGAGAGGAAATCCTCCCAGACAGAGCAAAATCAGCAGAACACACACCACCTGTTCTGAGGTGATGGGAACCAGCATCAAAAGCAAATTGAAGCCAAAGGGAAAAACAAAAACATGAAAACTGATGAATCATGACTGCATTTTTTTATTTTCTAAATTTCCCTTAAATGGTTTTGTTTACTACCTGCTTGCATAGTGTTTGTGAACCTGTTGCCCCTACATGTGGTCCAGCAGACCAATCAGAGTGATGCTTTAGTTCTTCGTGTACTTTATTCTGGTCAATTATTAAAAAGAAAAAAGAAAAATCACCAGCTGTATAAAATATAAGTCAGCGACCCCTGATGTTCTTTATTTTACAGCCAACCAGACTGAAGTGGTTCAGACCGACTGAGAAACAGCTGACCCAACGTTTTTTGCTCCGTCATCAGCTCTGTTCAAGAAAAATATTATTCCAAGTTAATCAACAACAACATGTGAGCTGACACATCCCACAACAAGACGCAGGAAAACAGAAAGAGAGAGAGAACAGGAGAGAGACGAGGAGGAGGTAGAGGTTAGGACAAGACTTTTATAAAATCCTTTTGATCTCCTTCTCAGACGTTCAAAAGTTCAAATCATCTTTGAGCAAAAGAGATGATGGGCAACCGTCTAATTGTGATTTTATGTGGAGATTTGAAATTACTTTTATTAATATTTTATAGGGATGTAACAGTTATCCAAAAATCAGCTACAAATCATTTGGTTGAAAAAAAATCGTGATCCTGAACTTCCTCAATGAATCAAATCAGGGATTGTGTGAACTGTTACATCCCTGATTTATTAACTACAGTATTTATTTATTTATTTACTCATGAACCCAAATCTGTAAAAGGTTTTCATGCAGCACAGCCAAACAGATGTGGAGCTCCTCTCCTCGCAGTGGTGGATCTAGGATTTTTCTAAGTAAGGGGCCATCAAGGGGCCACAATATTCATAAAGGGCCAAGTATTTGTTCAGCATCCTTGGACACAAATCTATGGTTTTGGTAAGGTGTATATTAACCAGTCACACATTTAAACACTTGTAATTTTAAAAAAAAGCTTGCTCACTAATGTCAACTTACCAATTTTCCATGCATTTTTACAGAACATGGGTAAAATACTCTCAAACACACAGCATGTGAGAGAATCCAGCCATCATTTGTGAGCTGAAAGACCTTTTCTGCAGGATTGTTCAAATTTTAAGAACAGAAAAATACTTCTGTCTGCTTGATTCATGCTGGACTTTTCTATTTGGCTCATTAGCACCTCTAGTGTTTGGACATGGAACTGCATCATCACTCGTGGGCAAAGGGCAGATGAGTGACAGGACAGGGGGCACTTCAGGGGGCCAGTTGAATTTCAGCATGGCCCATTGCCTCTGTGGCCCCGTCCCTAGAACCGCCCCTGTCTCCTCGGTGGAGACTTTCAGAGCAAGTTGTCACTCATGAGTAATGAGGAGAAAATTTCTTTAAGCCCTTTCTCCCAATTTTAGGACACTTTGTGCTCTGCAGGAAGGCCGAACAAAAGCTGCGGAGTTTCCCACAAAATTAAAAAACGAGCTTATAGCAGAGCGTCTAGCCGCTGAAGAGCTCCGTGGATGAAACCGTCAACTCTAAAAGCATCGTTTTAACTCTTTAGGCGTGCTTTACACAGACATGCTGATTGCTGCTTGGTGATGCAGGTTCAGCAGACTTGTTACAGAACCGTCTCCATGGCCTAATTTTCCTGGAAGGCACCGGGGTGCCAAGTGCCTTTTTCCCCCCTGAGTGATACTTGTGTTTCAGACCTCACCACAGGCAACTCTTTAACCATGGACGTGTGTGAGTCTGAGTGTGTGTCTGTGTTTAGGAAGGAGTGGAAGACAGACTTTCAGATGAGGGCATGGGCAGCGTAAATCAGTATGTTCTGTTTGTGTGAGTCTGTGTTGCATTCACGTGTCGCGTTGCACATGCAACTGATGCCAGAGTGCGTAGCATTCTCTGTGTGTAAAATCAACTCTCCTCAGTCACTATGTTGAATGAATGGATGAATGAATGAGTGTGTGTGTATGTGTGTGTTGTGTTGGCAGGGAGAGGACAACATGCCCAACCAGAGGAGTGATCAGAAAACCAGTCAGGGTTATTTCAGGGTAAAAGTCAGGTGGTAATCTGCGTGTGTGTGTGTGTGTGTGTGTGTGTGTTCTAGCATTTGTTACCTAGTAAGGCTTTTTTTTTTTTTCAAAACATACCACCTTGTACTGCCCCGGCCCCACAAGTTTTTATAGATGTGTGTGGCAGAAGTTGTGTTTGGGCAAGACACTTCATCTGCCTGCTGGTGGTGGTCTGAGGGTCCGGTGGTGCCGGTGTATGGCAGCCTCGCCTCTAGTGTGCCCCAAGGCAGCTGTGGCTACAATGTAGCTTACCACTGTCAGTGTGTGAGTGTGTGTATAAATGGGAGAATGACTGAAGTGTAATGAGCTTTGACTCTGTAGGGATTTAATAAACTGCTATATAAGTTCAAGCTGTTTACCATTTTGAGTTGGGGGTTATGTTGAGAACTGAGATGTGATTTCAGAATTAGCATCAGAATAATTTATTGATCCCTGGAGGGAAATCACAATTATTACAACTGCAACCGTTCAAGTAAGCATTAGAGATAAAAAATATATATATATATATATAGGAAAAAATATTAGAGCACACAAGGAAGTAAAAATAATATAAAGGAAATAAAACGAGGCAGTTAGGTTTTAGGTAAGGGTTAAACTATAGAAATTTATTAAAAATGAATGAAAGTCAATGGAAAGTCCCTGCGAATATATATTTGTATGATGTGTGTGTTTACCTATATTTGTTACCTTTTTAGGACTGTTTCTGGTATACACACCTATCTGGTCAAGACCAGTAGTCCTTATGTAAAGAGACCGAAATGAGCTTCTCCAGCATTCCTCCCACGTTAAAGTGCAGCATGGGGTTGTCCACACACACACACACACACACACACACACACACACACACACACACACACACACATACAGGTCTGGTTTTTAAATCCCATGGGGACCATGCGTTGACTTCCA